AGCCACACTGCTGGTTAACAGAAGCACTGGGAGTCACATTTAAGTTTGCCTGATGTTTAAAATTCAATGTGTCCCTATTATATTTCCATGTCTCCCCTCTTCTGTCTGACACTTGTGACCCACTGGCTGAGATGAGAAGAGAGAAAGGACATTTAATCATGGTGCCCATGAAGTGCTCAGGAGGCGGGGATGCTGAAGCAGGATTCTGAACAACTCAGCAGCACAGAGGCCCAGTGGGCAGGCTCCAGAAGAAGGGCATGGTGAGGAATCTGAGCAAGAGTGTCTGCTTGGATTCAGTAACCCACAGGGTGCCGTTGCTGTGCTGAGCTGCCAGGGCCCTGGAAGATCTAGAAGCTTCTCTCTGTCAAGTGATAAATTATCGCCTTCCTCTAAATTTACCTTTGCATCTGGAGAACTCTGTTCCAAAGCAGCTCAGACAGCTGTGGGCAGTGAGGGGTTTGAGGAAGGTAGGGCTTGAGGGATAGGTGCTGGCAAGTTTTTACAGATTTCTCAGCCTAGAAATTTGCATGCTTACCTTTTTTGCTCCCTAACCAGCATCTCTAAATGGTGTCCTTGCTTTCTTGCTTTTCTGCTGTAACTTTCTTCCTGTTTTGACCTGATTTTATTTGGAAATAATGAAGAGGACTGGTAGAGACTGGTGGCAACAGAGCTGTGTTCTTTCTTTGCCATGTGAATTCAGACATGAGAACTTACCTTTATGATACTGTTGTCACCTTGGAAATGTATAAAATGTTATGGGACTATTGGGAACACCAATAAGGCAATGGACACAGTGGCAACGAACACGATAACAGGTAGACCATGTATGCTCAATTAATATTTGTCAGATGCATGAATTGACAATCCTTGGATGTTAATCACTCTACACTTCCATGCTTGCGTCTGCTTTTATTAGTTACAAAAATGAGCTGGGCAACAGATACATGAAAAACATTAAGGATTACCAGCAATCAGGGAAATGTAAATGAAACCCTCCAGGAGTATCTTCTCACTCCAATTAGAATTGCTATCCTCCAAAGGTTAAAAAACAAATGCTGGTGAGGATGTTATAAAAAGGGAACCTCAATACACTGTTGGAAGGAATGTAAACTAGTATAGCCACGATAAGAAATGTATGGAGACGCTTCAGAAAACTAAAAATAGACCTATCATATGACTAAGCTATCCCACTTCCTGGAAGACATCCTAATAAAATTAAGTCAACATATGAAAAAGATATCTGCTCTCCCATGTTTATTACAGTTCGATTCAGAATAGCAAAGATATGGAATCAGCCTAGATGCCATTAACTGATGATTGAATAACGAAAATATGAGATTTATTTTCAGAAAGAAAAGACCACATGTTTCCGCTCATATGTGGATGTTAATATACACATATGTGAGAGATGGGAGGATGATTTCCCAGGCTGGGAATCTACATGCATTTATATACATGATGTGTGGATGTCATAGTAGTTGGTATACAGTTATATAGAGATGTTGTCTTCATTGGATTATACCATTATATAATAGTATGCCTTTCTTTCCTGATTTTATATTTGTCATGACTCTCATGTGATATTATTTGATCTATGCCTGTTTTTAAGCTAAAGTATGCATGTAAATGCATATGTTTATATATGAAATGAGTATGCAAAATGTTAAAAATCATTGAGTCTGTGTGCTCACTGAACTCTTCTTTATACTTTTTTTTCCTTTTGGCTTGAAACATTTTAAAATAGAATGACAAAAATGAATGAGTAAGGGTTCTGCAAAGGCAGGCCTCAGGGGTGTCATCAGCATAACAGTGGCAGGATTCTGTGTCCCCACCATTGCCATTGTTCAAAAGACACCAGGGAAAGCTCCCAGCAGAGGGCTTCCTCCTGGAGCTGCAGGATGCTTCATGGTTAGGGGACCCGGCCTGCTTTGTTGGGAGCTTAGGAAGCCAGAAAACTTGGGGATGTGGGAGAGGAGGCAACAGCTTGTCTCTCTGCCCTGAAGGTAAATAGACCTTCAGCATCATTTCTGAGCCTCTACACTGATGCAGAGAGAAACTAGCACTACGTTGACACAGAGAGCTGCGTACCCTTCAACGTTAACCTCCCTTCCATAGTCCTTGTTTTTGCCTAGATGGTCTCCCGGCTCTGAAACACAGACTGATTTTGTTAGATTCTGAGAAGTGACTAGACAAGATAGGCTGGAACGCCCCCTGCTGGGACTAGTTGGCTGGTTCACCTGCCAGGTTGTTGCTGTCCTCCATCTCAGTGCTGAAAAGCTTTCTGCTCTATTTTGAGGCCACAGGTATAACCTGGTCCAAGAAAGCTAAGTAGAAACTGAGCAAGCCAAAGCCACAAGAAGGGCTTGCTAATAACTTCTGCTCTCACGGTCAGCCCTTTTCTTTCTTCTTTGTGGTTGTGGGAAAGCAGACTCTTCCCCACTCTTACTGCAAACACATTCTGCCTTACAGTAGCATTTCTTCTCCTGAAGGGGTGTTAGATATTAGCAGGGTTCGTATACTGTAATTCAGGGACACTCAATGTCACTGTGCCTAGCATTCATGACACCTTGTCATACTGCCATCCAAAAATGTAACCTCCTGCCCCCTGTCATTTCTCTTCAAGCTCAAACCTAGAATAGCGCACTGCAAAGCAGCTAGCTTTCAACCCAACATTCCCTATAGAATGAACCCCCTATGTTTCCTCCATGAGAGGTGTCTGTATAGACTCTGCTTGCATACGTCTGGTGGTGGGGAGCTCACTATCATTCAGGAGAGATTGGCTAATGATTAGCAACTCTACTTACTAAATACTAAACACTAAAAAATAGTCCGTATCCTAAGTAGAAGTTTTTGTTACTAAGACTTGCACCTGAATTTGGTTGTCACTTCTGGGCAATGCAGAACCAGTTTGCTTCTTTTGTTCTCTCATGTCCCTTTAACTTTGAGGAGACTGTGTCCTTGCTTTCCCTACTCCTATGCCCTGTTATTTTTCATCTTAGGGATAAACAGCTCCAGTATCCTCATCCATTTCTAATGAGAAGTGATTTTGAAGCACCCTCACCCTCCTGGGCACCTTCCAAAGGATCAGAGCTATTATTTAGTGAGAACATAAATTTTTTCTGACATTTCCCATACCTAAGTTCATCAAGTCTTCATAGTTATTACAATGAGCTAGATACACTGTCACCATCTTATAGGAGAGGACACTAAAATCCACAGGCATTAAGCAACTTGCCCAAAAACACATTGTTCTTAAGAGACAGAACTAGTGTTCAAATTCAGAATTAGAGTTTCCTGTCTCTGAGTTTGTGCTCTACAACCACTAGCACACTTGCTGTCTGTGTGACCTGAGATCTAACACATCAGCTCAGTTTGAAAAATATGAGACCTGTACTTGCACATAACGACATTATCATAGAAGTGGTCCAGCCAAGGAACACTAGATCTAAACTCTCCTGCTCTCATTTTAGGCTCTATTCATGCTGTCAATGAGGCCGCCATCATTCCCAAAAGGTTGTGATGTCATTGGCTCACATTGAGCTAGCGTCATTCAATTCTCCAGGACTCCGTAAACTTCCGGAAGGTCAAATTCTGACTGTTCCCTCCTTATCTTGACAGAAACCCTGACCTCAAAGTGACAGTTACATTAACTCAGGGTTTGCTGGTTGGCTTTTGAGGAGAGGGGACCTAGGGGAAAGGGGAAAGAGGCGAAGAATGTTCATAGGAAGAGAGGAGCTGCACAAACTACTTTATTTGTGTCCCTCTGGCAAAGAAGAGCCCAGGGGATAAACTGCATATACAACACAACATTTTTAGCCAAGTAACACATGGTTCTTTGTTACTTATCATTTCTGAAAAACAGAATGTAAAAAGAGAACAAGCTTTGCTCTTGGTTTTTGCAACAAACTTCGAAAATCTCCAAACTAAACCAAAAGAAAGACTAACTAGAGCTTTGTGCTATAGGCCCTACCTCCCTGGAGCCTTCCTGCCTTTCCGCATCTCCTAATCCTCATTTCCGGGAGGTCATTTTAATTAGCAGGCTGTCATGGTGACTCAGCCTGCTGCTTCCACAGACAGGAAGAGAGCACACTCCCTGGGACCCATTCATCATACAAAGGCACTTTCTTCTTCAGAAAAATGCACAATATTTAGCCTGCCTCACCTCGGGGGAGATTGCAACTGCTGTTGTTTTATTTCATCCTCCCTGCTTGCCTTGGGGTACGTTCTTTTGTCTTTTGCAGCTCCCTTGTCTGGCTATCACCCTTTCGTTGTTGCAGATCACAGTTGCCCACCTCTTCAGGGGTCAAGCTTGATCCCTGTCACCAGCGTTCTGGAGACCTTAACTCTCAGAGACCTTTTGGAATGTGTGCCAATGCTTTTCATGGTGGCGGGGAGGGGCAGGAAAGGGAAATGGCTTCCAGAAGAATTCTCTGAGGTTGCTTGCTGGAGTTCAGGGCCAATGAGGAAACAGCATGCAGTTCATAGATATGGTATCTTTGATTTCAAAAGTGCTGCCCCATTTTTTTCCCAATAGCACATTTGCCTTTGAGTTGTATATCATGGTTTGGGATCAGAAAACAGGAGCCCTGCTGTAAGCAACCCTGGCCTATCTTGAAGAAGCAAACTTTTCTGGTGATTACTTAACTTTAAAACAGTCAAGAGTCTTGGAAAGAATGGGCTCAAGATGTGTCAAGGCCCTTCGAAGGGTGTAGATTTTCCTCATCTTTGAATCTCTGCGACGAAGAGAATAACATCTGCAATCCCTTGGTCCTAGTTTCCTCCTTTATCCCTCAGCCTTGAGCTGAAGGCTTCCTATCGATTTTCCATTGGTAAAAAGGAAAATCAATGGTGAAATTTCTCATTTTCCCCCTTCCCTTTCACTAGCTTATGCATTATCGCACATGTACATGTCTTGGAAGCTGGGGAAGGTGATTAATTTCATGCCTCAGCAGGAAACGCATCCCCCTGGCCCTACAGAACCTCCCTGGGGCTCCGTGTCTTTAGAAAGGATTGGAAGGGTCTTTGTGGTTCACTGAGCTCTTCTTGTTCCCTTTGCCGTTGGGGTAGCTGCTCTGCGGGAGTGGGTGCTTGTAGGGAGGGGCTTTTTCTTTCCTGCAAAGAGGGAGATAACAGAAAGAGAAGACAGTACATATAGGCATTATAATGAAATCATTTGTGTGCATGCCATCTCCCCCACTGAACCATGACCTCCTAGGAACAGCAGCCTTATCATCCTCTTTTCCATGGCCCCAGCACCCAGTTCACTGCTGGGCTCAAAACACACACTATAGCCTCAGTGAATGTAGCTTCAATGCCTGTTAGATGGATGGAAGCACTGTGTGATTCTGGTTCTAGAGAAAACATAATGATCCTACAGCTACAACTCTTCCACCCTGATTCAACTCATTAACCTATTGCACAGTGGGATGGAGATAAACACAGAGGAGAGCTGTAGCATGGGAGGGCATGGATACATCACAAACTTCACTGGTTTCCTTATATTATAGAATTGCAAACTATCTCCTCAGAATGATAAGGGGCTCCCAGGAAGCAGAAAACTGTCTGGGTCTTCTCCGTGTCTCAGTACCCAGTGTAATATTCTTGACATCACTGCTGAGTAACCATCTGCTTCTTTGCTCACAACCTAAATCGTGAGCAGGCACCAAAATACTCACTTCATGTTTTTCCTCTTACAGTGCTTTGCTTGTTATGTGACTGACTGATAAATGGGTGAGGTCAATCATTTCTGGGGAGTTTTTGGTTGTATAATTTTGTAATTCAGTTACATTCAGGATGTTAAGAATGAACCTATGGCAGGCTGTGTACCAACCATGGCCAAGGATACATCTTAATTAGTGGATAGGTCAAAGACACTATGACAATAGGCCAGGGGACATAAATGCCTTAGGTGTATACAAAATGCAATCAAAAGCCCTGGAGGCAGGAAGCTGCTCCATCTCAGACACAGAATAACAACAAGGAAATAGAGGGTGTGATATTTGCAGAGTTTTGACAGACAAGCAGACATTCATCACCCACTGAGAATAGGGGAAAAAAAGAGTACTCCAGGAAATGGGCAGAAGATGAACAGAGACATGGAGGCATGGCAATGACCAACTGTGCAGTCGGAAGCATGGTTCATGGCTTGAAACAACACAGGTGAGGTGGGCGGGTGCTCATGGGCCAAGGGATATGGTAGGAAGCAGCAATGAAGTTGAAAATGTAGACCAGGACCCTTACTAATGAGAAGGGACATTGGAACATTCTGTAAGAAGGAAAATAGGGAGAAACCATGGGAGAATTCTGACAGAGGGTGTGATCTGATGCATGGTTGAGTACAACGCAGCACACACGGTTGAGTACTCTTTGGCATCTTGGCTTATGTTTGTGCCATTATTCTCTGTAAATGTGGGCTACTGGTGGGTAGGGTGCTATGTAGGATGCTCCAGCAGAGGGCCTGTCATGCGGTAGGCTCCAGTGTGTTGTGTGGTTAATGAGCTTCCTCCTTCCGCCCCACACATACACATCAGAACCTCACCACGGAGCCAGCCCTCCAAGCCTCTTGCTGAGTCCAAATCTGCCCCCACGCAGAGGCTCTCAACTCCTATGCCCGCTGGTGCTTTTGATACTCACAGAAGCTCCCTGGCTTCTAGATTCTCCCCGTCCAATTTTGTGGTCCTTGATGGAATACTTGAGAATTTAGCCATGTGACTGTGTCATTGTGGTTTGGATAAATGTGGGAAGGACTCATCTTTGGTCCTCAGCTCCATGACATTGAGCTGGGACTACTATGTTCATGTGGGTGCTCCTCCCCATAGGCCTTATCTGAAGGACATAGCATCCGGGATGCTGACAGGCTCCTGCCAGCATCTGGGTAGATATTGACATGTTGTAATTATCCCCAGTGACGAGAGAAAACAAAGATTAACTTTGAGTCAAAACATGTAATTTTCCTTTAAAAAAAGAACTGCTCTTTCACTTAAGCTATTTGATGCTTGGGGGGAAAATAGCACAGAAAAAGATGAAGTATTCAAATGCCAAATCAAAGCTTGCTCAGCGCCTGTGTCCTCCTGAGACTTAAATTGTGAAGAGCTACTGACCAACATAGAGGTAAGTGACATCTGCAGTCTGAAGGGGCAGTGATGTTGACAGCACGTAGGGGTACAGACTTTGTGCATGTATTAAACGGGATGTTTTTCTTTCCAGAATTCACAGATGTGGACTGATGAAGAATGAGCTCCCATCTCTGAAGAGGATTCCAAAGCTCAGGAAAGGGGGTCCCATGAGCAGTTGAAATCGAAGCTTCTGAGAACTTCCCTAGATTGTTGGGTCCCAGCTATAAGGTCTCCTCTTCGCTCATCTCAAAGAAATCTTTATTGCCTGAGTCTGAGGACTCTGGGCTTACAGGAGATAACAGTAAATCCTTGGACTCTAGTCCGGGCTCCCACCTCGCCACTCTAACCAGCTCCTTCTGTCCTCCCTGGACCATCATGGAGAGGGGCTATCAAGGGTGGGGAATCTTTTTTTCTGCCAAGGATCATTTGGATTTTCAGATTGTCATTCGTGAAATATCAACTTAAAAATTAGACCACTTGGGCTAGCACTGGGGAGCAGTGAATCAAGTTGTCACCTGTGATGCTGGCATATACAAGAGTACTGTTTTGAGTCTCCACTCCTGATCCAGCTCCCTACTCCTGTTCTTGGGAAGGCACCAGGTGTGTGCCTAAGTGTTTGGGTCCCTGCCACCTATGAGAAAGACCCACATGGAGTTCTAGGCTCCTGACATCAACCAGGCCCATCCCTGTCTGCCATTCCTGTGGGGAATCAACTAGCAGGGGGAAGCTCTCTCATTCTGCCACTTCCCCTCTTTGGGAACATATCTAACTTTACCTTTCAAATAAACAAAATAAATCATAAAAGTATAGCCAGTTATTGATCTATTGAATTTCAAGTCCTGCCTGTATTTGCCTTGGTAAGGTGAAACCAAAGGATTTTGCAGGCCTTCCTCACATTGCCCACTGGTTGGACATTCCCCATCCCTGGCAGATGATTCTTAATTTGTGCATGAGTCTCAGCACCACTTCACTGGTCTACATAACAATGTAAACTGTGGAAAAAATTCTTAGGGCTCTGTTAAGACCCTGTGAAAAATAAGACCCCTAAATTGACTTGTAAATCAAAGTCTAAGAATTCTTCTGAGCTTTATAATGCTTTACATTTTTTGAGAACTTTAAACAGAGTAGAATGATTTCTAAGAGTGAACTGAGCACCTCCCTTCAGAGCTAAGTCCCTCTGAGGCAGGGGCCATGCCTTATTTGCCTACTCATTCCAGAGGCTCCCAACTGCCAGAGGCTAGCATAAATTGCTGCTTTTTTCTAAGTCAGCAGATGCACACATGTGTGCAGAGTGCAGGGCAGGTTCTTCAAGGGCCTAGAGAAAAAAAAAACATGAGTCTCTTGCAGGAGTTTGTGATCCTACAGGATGGTTTGTGTGCAATCCCCACTGCTGTGCCTACCAGTGACTCGGGGCTCTGAGATGTCATTCACAGCACCGTGAAACACGTGAGCCCTGAATGTGATTCAACATCAGCAAACAAGCCAAGGAACTTGCTGCACCCATGACGAACTGCGTGGAAGTCTGGTACTGCAACCCAGACACCAGAGGAAATGAATAGACTTAGTGTGTACCTACTGTCTTCTGGGCATTGTCCTAAGCTCATATCTAATCTTCAAAATCATTTTTAGAGGTCATTGTTATTCTCATTTGACAGGCAGGTAGACAGAACCTTCAAGAGATCAGGAAACTTGCTATGACTTTATAGCTTACATGAACCTGAGACTGCACTTGAACCCACACTGAGGAACTTCTGCTAAAAGCTGAACTTAGCCACACTTCAATCCACCTGTAGGATGATAAAACCTAAAATCAAACTCTGGTTCTGCCCCCAAACCCTTGGACCTCAGCCACTTCTCTTTACATTTTTGAATCTTGTTTTCCTTGTTTGTAAGATGGGAGACATAATGTCTACGAGAAATAAATGATACACAACAAGTACTTCATAGGATAAATAACATGAACTTGTAATTTGTTTTTAATTAATAACAGGACAGGGAGGCAGGTATATCAATGCAAAGTTCCTGGGGCACCAAAACACATGGGCAAGATCATGGTCAGGGCCATGGGAAAGAATGGTTTGGCAGGAGCAAACAGCTGGGCAACATCTTGTCCTCTAAGAGGCTGGATCACTTGAGGGAGCAGGAGGTGATGGCAGGAGGTAGGGCAGGGCCAGCATATTACAGGTGGCATTGGACATCATTGTTCAAACGCTGGCTGGGTTCATCACCGGGATGCCCAGTGCTTCCAGCTCTGATCCCGTCCTCAGACAGCATGGAAGCTCACCTTGGACCTTTTCTCCTCATTGGCCCTGCAAGTTGGTCCCAGCAGAGGAGTGAGTAGGGATTTTTTCCAGACTGTGTCCACTCCAGCCCCAAATCTCCCCATCTTGAAGAAGGGGTCTATATGTACTAACAGGAAACACTGTGTCAGGTGCTAGGTCTAATGATCCTGTGACTACTTCTGTGTCTAATCAACAGAAGAGGCTACTGGGGCCAGAGGATTTCACACAGGTAGTCTAGAGGAGGAGCTCTCAAAAGGAATGCCACAAGATATGTCCAGGACAACTTACAACAAGCACTGAACTTGGTTTCCCAGCAACCGATCACCCCTGAAGAATCACAAACTAGCACCACCCCACTCAATCTCTGGCCCTTTAGGGCAACCTGCCCCTTTTCATCTCTGTGATAGGCCTGGGGCTCCCTCAGCTGGGGCACCACTGAGGAAGTAGGCTAAGGAGGCTGCTCTAGAACCCAAAGTCAGGTAGACGGGACTTAAACCTAGACCACTTTGCTCTGCTACTTACCGCAGCCTGGGCATTGGGCTCGCCACCTTCTCGACCAGGGAGTTCAGCCGATAGTAGTCCAGAAATGTCCTTGCCACATTCCGGCCCAGCTTCATATCTGCAGGAGCATGTGTTAAGGAGTTTTGAGAAGAGACTGGGCAGAGTAAGAACACTGGTAAAAAAAAAAACAGTAACAGTAATAAAACCACAGCATCATTCACATTTCTGAGTGTTTTGTAAGGATTGTCTTTCTTGCTCCTCACAAAGCCTTAATTACTAATGATTAATTATCCATGTTTTACACTAGTAATGCTGAACTGAAGTTAAGCTAGTTGTCTAAAGTCACAGAACTGGGTTGGCAATAAGCCACAATAGGGGTCCAGGTTATCTTACCCCAATCCTGTGCTCATAGCACTCATTTTTTTTTTATTTTTGAAGATTTATTTATTTGAAAGAGAGAGAGAGAGAGAAATTTTATCCAATGATTCACTTTGTAACTGGTTGCCAGAGCTAGGGCTGGGCCAGGCCAAAACCAGGATCCTGGAAATCCACCTGGGTTTTCAACGTAGCAGGAACCCAAGTACCTGAGCCATCTTCCATTGCCATTCTAGGTGCTTTAACTGAGAGCTGGGTTGGAAGTTGAACAGCCAGGACTTAAACTTTTGCTCTGATATAGGACAACTAAAGTTGTAGGTGACAACTAAAGTTGTAGCAGCAACTTAACCTGATTTATTCCAATGTTACCCCCTTGTAACTTTTAGAAGAGACTGAAACCCTTTGCAATCAGTAGGCTTTCCTGGCCTGGCTTTAGGATGAAGCCATTTAAGGAAACTCACAGGTAAGAGATTCTTTGTTCTATGCAGACCAGGCCTTGTCTGACCCTTGGGGATCAGTCTTCTATTTTGGGAACCTCAGGTTTAATAGTAAATTCTGACTTTAGATAAGGTACCATTCCACCTTGAAATTGTACTAACAGTGAATCCTCAGGGCCAGGAATTATATGGCCTATCATAGTGAAATTCCTTGGAAAAGCAGTCAGGGTCAATTCTATCTTGATCATTCACATCTTCGTATGAATTAATATAACAGTATCTTAGTCACCAACTGAAGATCTGCATTGTGCATTACATGTTATGTCTCTGGGTCTTCACACGTGCCTCAAAAAGTTTGCCCTGGATAATTTATACTCCTCAGTTCTCCAGTTAGATGGCATCTGCAGGACCCCCTCTCCCCTCTGCCCAGGGCTGCAATTGGTGTCCTTGCTCTCTATTTCCAAGGCTGCGTGTAAAGTACTCACTACTTTTCTAACAGTATGTTTGCTCTCCTACACCCTTAATTATCTCTCCTTTCTCCCTGAGCCCTCAGCTCTCAGTGCAGAGCACCCAAACTGTCACCAACACGTTTCCCTGAGAACTGTGATCCCTAGAATTTCTCCTCTTCCTTGCTCATCCCTGGAACTAGCCAACATAGTCTTTGGAGGCATTGTGGGCATCCTGCCTTACTTAGCCTCCCTCTCTGCCTCAGGATGGCCCTTTCTAGTCCAGATTTACAGTAAGTGGAGAAGTTGTTCTAAAACACAGAACCTCCCATGTCACTGAACCAAGTGAATCCCTTCAGCAGCTTCCAGTTGCCTTTCAAGGCCACATTGCATGGCCTGGCCCCCAAGGCTTCTCACAGCTGGGTCCCAGATTCCTTTCCCAGCTCTGTGCTTGCTGTCTTGGGCCTTCTGCAACCCTTGTCCTTCCCAGGACAGTGACACCACACTTCTGCCTCCCGGCTTTGTCCAAGCCATGCCAGCTTCCCAGACCACTCGTGCTCCCTTGCATGCCTTTTGGGATCCACTCTCCTTAGCCTCAATTTAGTTGTCACTATACTGCATAAGTCTTTATTCCACTGGCTCTTTCCCCAATCCCTCTCCCTATTCCAGATGCCTTACCACTCTGTTATTGTTAACTGTCTTTTCTCTTCTTTTTGGTAGCCTTTTCTAGGTTGCAAGTTCTATGAGGCAGAGCCTGTAACTGCTTCATTCATCATCTAAATATCAACACACTGACCTAGCAACACTTGTGAAATGCACATTTTGTGAAATGAGTGAATGCTAATAGCTAGTGTTTATATTATAGTTAATATGTGTCTAATACGTGTGGGTGATAAAAGTGCCTTATGTATGTTGACTCCTCCAATTCTCATCACATCCCAGGTGTATTGCTATTCCTACTGTTCAGAGAAAGTAAGTAGTTTTTCCACATATTGGTCATGTAATGCATGATGGGGCTGGAATTTCAGCCAAAGAACCTCCCTAAGAACATAGAAGAGCCTCCAGGACCTGCATTATTTCATATTCACTTCTACTTCTCATCTGCCTAATATATGGGAGGGAATCAGCCTACTTGGGATAAAATTCATCTCCTTGCCTCCAGGGAATGTGGGGGACACACTGAGGAATGACTGGTCTGCAGGGCTGTCTTGAGAAGAACCATGCCCAGCCAGATTATAATAAAGGACAATTGGAAAAAAAAAACATATTTCATAGGAGGACACAAAATTAACAGCAATGCGAAGATCATTATCCATCCATCCATCCATGAAGCATGTTTGCAAGTCTGCATGGTACCCAGGGAGTGTCCTGGTATGTCATAGTAGAGGGGGGAAAAATAGAGTGGAAAGAAAATATGTAGCTGATTGCAGTTGCTGATGACTTTCCATCAGTTGTCTGAGACTGACTTGAGGCATCCAAGTCACCACTCCATCTAGGGCTATGGAGAATAGACCAACATGTGAGAAATAGTCAAGTGAGTTCTCCAATGTTCTTCAAGAAGTCCCTAACCCAGGGGAGACATGGCCAAGGACATGGAAACTCGTGAATATGAAACGCCGACTCTGTGCCTGGCACTGCACTTAGTGCTTTGTCTATTTGCATGTTTCATTCTTCAAAACATTCCGATAAAGGGGATGACCTTGTTCTCTAGGAGGTTTAGAAGGTAGTGCAAGGCCATAGCACTGATAGTGGTAGTTGAGTCAGGACTCAACTCCAGGAAAGTCTGACCTCAGAACCAGGAGCTTTCCACTACCCCAGGCTGTTTCCCAATTTGAAAGCACCCTTTTCGTCAAAGTGTGAGTCATCCCTGGCCAGTGCCTGGTGTGAAAAGGAAAAACACCAGACAAGTTGTTTATGACAGTGAGATGCGCTGCAGGCTCGCTGTGCTCTGAGGCTGCCACCTGCCTTCTTCATCTGGATGTGACCGACCTTCTCTGTCCCGTTCATTAAAAAAGTACTCAAGCTGGCATTGGGCATGGCCTGTCTGACCAGCAGTCCTCGGAGGCAGTCATACTGCCAGGGCCCGCAGAGGCAAGCTGGCTGTTTTAACTGAGCCAGTCTCTAGCTTGTTTGAGAAGAACAAATCACAGTATATGGGCTGTCAGAGAGAGCTACAGGACACGGAGGAGAGCAAAGGCTCCTGTGGGCTGAGTGAGAAAGTTGAAGCAAAAGTTCTGTAAACAGACATATCTAGTCCAGATCCTGGCTGTGCCACATGCTGGGCATGCAGATTGTGTTTTCCGAAAGATTGTCTCAACAGTATTACCCATCACACGTGCTATTCTAGGACACAACAGTGACACACCTTCCACTGAAAGTGTGGTCTGTATCTCCTCTCTTAATCATGCAACAAAAAGATTGGCAGAAGTGTTACCGAGGGACTTAAGAGGTCAGAAAGAGGTGACACAACTGGCACCTTGCTTGTTGGAGTAGTTGAGTGGGAGTGCCAAGCCTCCATACAATGCCCTGAGATTACACAAGGAGAGATTCCTGGTCAGCCTACCTCTCTTCCAGTGTTCTACAGAGCTAGCTCCAGCTTTAACTGCCTGCAATCCCATCCAACTGCAAGTGGGGGTCACCCAGGTAGACCTCCACAAGTTTCTGACCCACAGGGAACACCAAAGAATGACAATTGCTCTTTTGAGAGATCTTCTAATGTGCAAATTGAGAACAAAGGCACTACATAACTTTGTGCAAATTAGCCTGTCTCTCCCCAAGCCTCACTTTCTTCATCTACAAAATGTGAATAATAATGTTGCCTTACAGGATGGTTGGAATAGTATGTGACTGCACCTAACTGCGAACAACCTGGGTGCTGCCCAACTGAAGGAATGAAGAAGCAAGAAGTCGGGGGCCCTTCCTCAACAGTCTACCTCAAGAGCCAGACTTGTAGTCACATTGCAAGGAATCCTTCTGGAATTTGACAAGGAATGGAGGAAGGCTGTGATTATTTGGGGGTACGCTCTAACTAGAAGGCAGCGTGTTGAAGGTGGCAGCTGTTGCAGACAGCCCTGTTTCCCCTCCACCGCCCCTACTTTGCAACTCTCTTCTGTATTCCTCAAACCTGGAAAGGCTCACTCCAGATTATTTACTGCAATGACCCTATGCGAGTCAAGGATCAGGACATAGGTGAGCAGGCAAGAGAGATTGATTGACCAATTTCAATTAAAATAGGCTGTCTTTGAACAAAGATTTAAGACCTAGGCAAGGGGAGGCAATAATTCTCTTGGCTGGAACCCCTTTCAATATATTGCATTTTTAAGAGAGAGAAGAAATTGAAGTGAAAACTCAACTACTCACTGTCAACAAAATTCTCAGGATGATTTGTCAACAGGAAATCTCACCACCCTTGGAGCCTGATGCAGGACATTGATCTGTTTTGCACAAATGATGGGGAATGACCAGCTCAAAGGGCAGGATCCACAGAGGAGGACAATTGGCTGGAATTACGGGAAGCTTGTGCTGATTTAGTGACTTTGGGCCAAACCTGCTTTGAAGTAAAGGATGTGTGTCAACAGCCCCAGCCTCCTATTTCATGGTGACCTCAAACAGGTTATGAGGGTTTGAACATAAACTGCTCAATTTCATTCATTCATCCACTCATGCATTCACCGATTCAAACATTTGTTGGTTTCTGCCCATGTTTATAATATTACAAAGTGATGGAGACTGTGGCAAAGATTCAGTCAGGTGCACTCCATAGTCCAGAGCAGGAAACCAGCATAACTCATTTAGGTACATGACCAAGCAGGCTGCTCTAGTGTCACCTATGCAAAACCAAGGGCCCAGTGTCGTGGCCT